AATCTCTCTTTTAATGGGAGTCGTATGACATAGAATAGGCAATGTGTTTTTGTTTGCTTCTCTGGCGAATTCCATTAATGAACTGATGTCACAATGACATCAAAGAGATAATTTAAAGTTATTAAAACACGATTTTAATCCTTATTTTCATTTATCAGTCAGCAAAATAGGAAAAAACTGATAAAAAATTATTTCGAAAAAAATATTCCATATTAAATGTCAAGTCTGTATATATATATCAAGCATATTGTGACAAGACAGTTCTTTTTCAGCGCCGTGCCATACATATTATAGTTAAAATGGTTTCGTCTTCCAGTTTTCCTCTCCTAAAAGTTTTATGTACTTAATTTACACCGAGACAGTATATAGTCTCTATACAGAACCAGTCTGCGGCGTGTGTCATCGTCCAAGGCAATTGTCAGGCCGGTGCATGTACACCAGAGATGTAGATATAGTGTGACTTAGAAAGAGTATTACAAGTATACTGCCTGTTATTAGTTAAACTAAATGAATGTGTGTGTGTGTGTGGGGGGGGGGGAGCAATATGGAAATAGCGAGAAAAGCCGGGGTGACTTGATTTAAAAGTCTTGCTTAACTTCAAGGTCAATTGAGTATGAAAGGCGGGGTCTCACGATTTTGAATAGGAGCAAAATAATAAATGCAGTCACATTTCTGATCGCATTGTGTACATTCCCTGTGCGCTTACAATTTAATCAAAATGGAGACAAACATATGGCATTTGAAAAGAAAAAAACCTGACGTAAAGTGAAAACTGAGACAAGCTTTGTACTAGTATAGTAAAGCTTTAAGAGAGAAAGAGAAAGATCTAGAGACTTAATCTAATTATTCTAAGTGGCAAATAAAATAAATCAGTCTGGGGGGCATTGTGCGCATTCCCTGTGAGCTGACGGGTAAACAAAATACAATAACGCAAAACATTAAACAATGGGTGAGGTAGAAAAATACCCGCCGAGGTAGAGGAAGGCATGAACGACTACATACTCGTTTGATGGTTTAATCCGCCATTTTTTGTTTTTCATGTAATGCGCCATTTTGAGTCGCCGAGGCACCTTTTCTGCAGAAACAGATCCGAGGATTGCAGTAGACAGAACTGACCAGCTGTAGCACACAGAGGTCTCAGAGGTCCAGAAGGAAGTTTACAAAGGTATGAATGTTAATAAATCGCTCGGATACGTTAATAATTATTCATTTATTGTCAGACAATTACCGTGAATTTTGGCATAAATTTAATTTAAGCAGAGAGATGAGTAGATTCTGTATCAATGACAAACCCAGCGGGCAAATTATGTTGTTTTAACCTTGAAACAACGTTGAACCATAACGTTGAGAAGACATTGGATAAACATTGGATTTGAAAGTTGTGTCAACCTCAGATAACAACGTTGTATCAACGTCAAAAAACAATGTTATATCAACCCCACCCAGCGGGAAACTACAACGCACAAAAATTCTAACGTACACCGTAAAAGGCATCTAAGTGCCTGCTTTGTCTGAAATTTTCAAAGCATTTATTTCCTTAACATGTTTTGCACCCAAGCATGGTACACCTTTTTAGCCTGGATGTGTTTAGCAGTAGGACATGTTTGATGGTTAAATATATGTAGGGTATATATGTATGGTCTTTAAATTAAAATTTCCAAGGTTAAGATTAATATATATATAACAAAGTCACAGTCACCTCAACCTGTCTATCTTTAACAGGTTACCAAGAACTGGCAACTTTATTGACACATTTACAGCAACTTATTCATCCTAGTGTTAGCTGACCTTGCAAGGAATTCACTTTATTGGAATGTATTTCTGAACAACAAGTTAAGAAAATTCACTAGTTCACTAAAGACACAAAACAACTGTCACTTTTACTTTAAAACCCCTTTGTTATTATTTTGATCAATTTAGTTTTAGTATTTATAAACAAAGTATCACGTTTTTCAATAATTAATATTTTAAATTACAATCCATAATTGCAGGGTTGTGTCAATGACCAAATACAACGATGACCAAAATACAACGTTGAGTCAACGTCGCATTACGACGGTGATTTGGCGTGGCTGGAACAACGTTGATTTTACGTTGAATATAGGTAGATCAACGGCAATTCAACGTGACCACGAACTCGTTTGATAGGCAAATTCACCGTTTCCTGGCAAAAAAAAAAAAAAAAAAAAAAAAAGAACGCAATTTCCAAGACCACAGGTCATTAGATCGTGGTAGACTGATTTGACCAGCCGTTGCACACAGAGAAAGGAACATGTTCATTGGATAGTTTACAAAGGTATGAGTGCCGCATATCCAGCGGGTATACAGTAAAATCCTCTCACGCAGTGAATAATGAAGTCGGAAATCAACACTCTCCGACTTTCTATCAAAATGAAAGGTATCGGTGCCACATGCTTTAAATATAATAAAACTAACGAATCACTCGTTAAAACCCGAATGATTTATCAAATTACAGTTATAACCAGTAATGTCGCCAACGGTCGGTGGTGACATATAATTTTGGTGCATAGACACAGTGGTACATGCACGAATGTTTCAGTTTCTTAAACAACAATGCCAAATAGAAAGTCTCAAAACAGACGCTAAGAAGAAAAGTATTTTATATTGAATAGTATATTTTAATCTGGAAAAAGGAACGGGTTATCTCACACGCCTTCCAAGCGCCGTCCCTGCAGGGGCACAATAATTAAATCTCGACTCAATTCAACCGGTCGAGGGCTTAAAGGTTTAATAAATTGAATTGACGACGCGTGGGGAGCCGTGTGAGAGGCGGAAGACCATTAAAAAGATTACGCGGCCTTCCTTTCATGTCGGTCCGCCATAATTAGGTCTTGGCCTTGCTAGACTTCAACTTTTCTCGATGTGAATGCTCTTTTAAAGGATGTTATAAATTAACAGGTGAAAAAGCCGGAAGTTAAAACCACTGTGGGTGCTTTGAAATTTGATACTATATTATCATGACACTGACTGTAAGGTTTTTGGGTTTGTTATATGTGTGTTTTGTAGCTTTTGCTGGTATAAGATATCACAATTGATGCTTTAACCGTTTAGACTCTTTAATGTGAAACATTTGCTTTGTACTGGACCCCTGATACTGAGAGCTATAATCTACACGATTCAAAAGCTTCATGAGATCCCCATTTTTAAATTTACTCTTCTCCGGCCGGTTAGTTTTAAAAGTGAGGGTCCGGCGGACTCTGAGATGGCAGGACCTTCTAGCAGGTCATACCTGCTTGAACAACGGATAACGTTCAGAGATATGAAAAAAATGAGATTTGAAAACGTTAATCATGTGTACGTTGTGTATAGAGCAATGCTTCACGTAGCTACCTCTTGGAAATTTTGCTGCCATTTTTTTTTTTTTTTTTTTTTTGAGATCATGTTCTTTTAAAAGAAAAGTTTTTAATTTATTTATTTTTCTTTTTTATTTCCTTTTTTGCGAATCAGACATTTAGTGGAGTAGAGTTGTGTGGGGCTGGTTTGAAGTGGAGATGAAGGCGTGCATCTGGGCCGCACTTCATAGCTACACAATTCAACCCTCACCTTCAGTAGATCCTCCTATGTGTAGCGATGGTATTTACTTTTGCTTTAGTTGTTGCGTGGACCAGCTGAGTTGTTACTGCAACTTATTAATCACATGAAATACTTGTACGTGTTGTTCATGAAAATGCCTTGTCTCTAAGGCAAAAATACCTCATTCATAACAACAAACTCTTTTATAATCACAATAACCGTAGGCCTACATGATTAATTCTAATTATGAAAACCATGTAAATTAGTATAATAAAAATTACTATTATTATAATAAACAAAGATACTTCTAAGTAAAGTGAGCTCGAAATTACACTTAAAATACATGTAGTTAATAAACTGTTATGCAAGCTACTTTAGATATCAAACCATACCTTTACTCTGCGAGTAAGTAATAAATGACCGCACAGAGCACGTGCTACATCGCCTTTTTTACAACTGACTATATGAATAATTGAACACATTACCGTATTGAGCACTGCTAGTAATTTCTCATCTAATACAATCTGAACAAAACAAAAACATCGTGGAAATATGAAAATGATAACTTCTTAATAATTTCTGTCGTGTCGGCGACACTACGTACTGGGGCGTGTGTTTGACGTTGAATTTGACACATATCTTCTTTATTTGGAGTGTTTGATGTTGTAAATATGTTGTTTTTGTGTATCGTATTCAACAAAAACCTATTTGTATGCCTGTTTTAACAACATGATACAACATGACAGCTACGGTATGTTGATTACAGAGAGAATACTGCGACTATTAACTCTGTTCAAACCCAAGGCGCAACTCCGCGACTTTTCCCTGAGCCCGGTTTCAATTCAGCCCTTTGAATCAAAAAGTCTGATAATCTAATACATGAATTACACAAGCAGCATATGTTCATGTTACATGCCCCTCGCCTAACATTACTCAAATCGTTATTTATGATGTGGAAACATGCACCAAAATATATGCACGTTATACGTCTTTTTGGGCAAACAATTCTTGGGGGTATTCATTATCATTTCCACCAGGAAGATGGCCACCCCTTGTATCATCTACTCATGTGACCGTCAGAAGAAGAAAACGTGTAAGTTAACAACAATGGAGGCACTGCTACAAGACGCTAGAAGGCTGTTTGGTAAGTACCGACGTTTTCGCCAATATATTTTTTGTTGTTGCATTTTTAAAACCTAGTCTACATATATAATTGTCACTGTGACATGGCAAAGTACTCCAAAAAAATAAAAATTGCAAAAATCATGTAAAATATTTATTTATACCTGCTTTGGAAGACGGAACAAAATGCTGACTAGAGTCGGGAGATTACAAAAGCGGAGTCATATCCCCATCGAGAAATGATAGACAATGAGATTAAGCAAGTTAATGTTAATTGCCCTATACTGCACCTTTCGTTTCTCGAAAATATGAGACCTCTTATTTTTATAACCCAAATCCGTAAAAGTGAAGGGTGTTCAAACGAGCAAATATTTAAGTTCAATAAAACCGTAGGCTATTATACCAAAAGGGTAGAGTAATGTTTTTATTAATTTGATGTTATACGGTTATCTAATGTCTATATGTTAGGTTATGGGGAAGAAGAAAGGCTTTTCGTTGTTTTAGAGGGCAAAGGAGCAGAAATAGAAGATGAAGAAATTCTACTTGCCCTAGGACAGAAAACCAACGATGTTTTAGAGCTTGTGGTTGTGAATCAGACCCGACAAGAATCATGGGGACCGGTGGAAGGTAGGCAAATTGACAGAAACGTGTTTTTTATATGAAAATTGAGTGCCGTCCAATTCAGTGCAGCAGCCCAAACTTGAATTTATTTCAAATGAGAATGGACATGCTGTTGAATGATTAATTTATTATGACCTGGTTTTTCCAGTGCCAAGCAAACTTACTAATCCAAACATACAGACAATTAGCATCAACCAAAGCAACAACATCCAAATAGGAGACAGCAACAGTCTTCTTCAGAGAGATTATACGATCGCGAGGGATGTGGATGAAATGTTGGATGTTGTGCCAGTCCAAGGTAAGTACTACCACATTAAGGGGCGGATCAAGGAACTTTCGCCCTGTCTCTTTTCAAAAGGAGAGAAATATATACACATTGTGACCTATATGTGCATAACACATTTAAATTCTATTATAAATTTGTAGACACCAATTTTTGCTAAACAATGCACAAAATCCACATTTGAATTCTTCCGTCTTAATATTCTGTACCAAGACAATTTTGATTAATATAGTGCATAATAACAAATATTTGCTGTAGTGACGCTACCACAAGTTCTGGATGCCCGTAAGTTACATAAATTGTAGAAATATATCGAGTTTCATTCCAAATCAGGCAATACACGTGGCAACGAAAAGGTGTAATTTAATACACACAATGACCTTACAATGTATCAAAATATGTTTTTATATATTCTCACGCCCCAAACCCCGCCAATCACAATACAAAAATCGTTGACAAAATTACAATCTTTAGATTTAAAGCAATTCTTTTAGATCTGTACTTTCGATCACTCTAGGTATATAGAGTGACTTTTAAATTTTACCCGCAACAGTAGAATTTAACTTATTTAAATCTCAAAAAGCTGAACGTGCATGGAGATTTAGCAAAAAATGTGTAGAAAATGTGTCGACAAAACACGAACATGTAATACCTCTACACAGTTCTCCATCACTAAAATCTTTTCTGAAATACATTGGTTAATATAGTCTCAGTTTATACAATAAACGTAATTTAATACTCTATGTACATGTAGGAGGATGGATTTTTCATTTTTGGGTTAAGTAGGAAAGTGATGTCAGTGCTGCTAAGTCAAATTCTGTTTAGCTTTATTTACAGATGAAAGGCATTTCAACCAAAATGTATATGTACATGTTCATATTTTTTATGGATAGGCTCATATTGTATTATGAAGTTGATGTTGACCTGCTAACATTGAATATTGACATTAACGTTTATTTTGTATCACATACCTATTCAGAAGTTAATGATATTGAGATGGTGGTGATTTTATCAACTGCAAATCCCTGAGGCTCTTCATGTAGCAAAAAAAAAAATGACAAACTTATTCGAAAAAGGACGAATATGTGGTGTCCTTATTATGGAAGCCAAGAAGTATGAGATAAGACGGCGTATGTCAAATGTTTGTGTTTATTACAAAGAAGACAGTTTGCTTTAATTTAAAGATAAAGAAAACATCCCTTCATTTCAGGAGAAAAAACGGAAGTTATTTCAGTGATACCTGATCCGTTACGTCGCCTGTATGCACTGATCTCACAGCCTAAGTTTTGGTACGAGCTAGATAGGACTGCCCGCCAGGTGGACAGAAGCGAAGTCCTTAAGTACAGGGATGATAATGGATTCAATGTTCTACACGCTGCAGCGTTTCACAATAACGAACGTGCAGTTCTGACAATATTCAGACATTTTGATTGGGCGAAACTTTCCACGCAGGTCACAAGCGGCACTCACCCTGGTGAGCTGGATGGTTGTACTGCCAAAGAGATAGCTTTAAAGAAACATCACAAGAGTGTGGCAGACCGAATTGATTTAGTAGGAAAACTTGAGAGTGAATTGAAACCAATTCACAAGGCCGTAAGAAGTCAAAGTATTGATGAGATTAAAAAAACCTGCAATTGTGACCAAAACACCGTAAATATGACTGGCCCAGAAAAGTGTACACCACTTCACATTGCTGCCGGTGTAGGATTCCTAGATGGCGTGAAGCTGCTTCTCAAAATGGGTGCAGACCTGAATGCTGTCACAGAGTATGGTGAAACAGCCCTGGGTCGTGCCTGTAGGATGGGGTACGATGACGTGGTGGAGTACCTCACTAATCTAACGAACATTGACATCAAGAAAAGTGTTTGGTCAGATATGAGAGACTTAACGTGTCTCGATGCCGCAGCGATGGGTAACTACAGAGACATTTACGACAGGTTGCAGCGCCATGGTTTACCTGTGACCAGCAATACCCTGGTGTGTGCCGCATGGGGCGGTCACGTCGAGTTAGTGAAAGAAATAGCAGCAATGGTCGGAATCGATGTTAATTATCAGAACAAGTACGGGAACACCGCTCTGTGTGAAACATCAAGAAATGGTCATGTAGATGTGGTTAAGTGTTTGATAAATAAACATAAGGCAGACCCCAGTATTCAGAACAAAAACGGAAACACGGCTCTACACATTGCAGTTCTCAATAATGCAGGTCTGGATGTCGTGGAATGTCTGTTAGATGAAGGTGGTGCAGATCCAACCATCCTCAATAATGACGGAGAAGACCCAGCACACTGTGCCGCACGTTGTGGACAAGTACAATATTTGGATGCCGTTCTAAGAAGGAATCATGAACATAGGATTGATCCAAATATTCAAGACAAATACGGGAACACCGCTCTGTGTAAAGCATCAAGAAATGGTCATGTTGATGTGGTAAAGTGTTTGATAAATAAATATAAGGCGGACTCCAGTATTCAGAACAAAAACGGAAACACGGCTCTACACATTGCAGTTCTCAATAATGTAGGCCTGGATGTCGTGGAATGTCTGTTAGATGAAGGTGGTGCAGATCCAACCATCCTCAATAATGATGGAGAAAACCCAGCACACTGTGTCGCACGTTGTGGACAAGTACAATATTTGGATGCCGTTCTAAGAAGGAATCATGAACATAGGATTGATCCAAATATTCAAGACAAATACGGGAACACCGCTCTGTGTAAAGCATCAAGAAATGGTCATGTTGATGTGGTAAAGTGTTTGATAAATAAATATAAGGCGGACTCCAGTATTCAGAACAAAAACGGAAACACGGCTCTACACATTGCAGTTCTCAATAATGTAGGCCTGGATGTCGTGGAATGTCTGTTAGATGAAGGTGGAGCAGATCCAACCATCCTAAATAACAATGGAGAAAATCCAGCACACGTGGCAGCAAAGAGTGGACAAGTGCAGTGTTTGGATGCCATTCTGAGAACACATCCTGGATTGATGAACAAACGAGGTAATCTCTTGGGGGAGGTCTATTTAGTGCGCGGTAAAAATGGAGAAAGACCCGCGTGGCATTATGTTCTGGTGAAGAGGAAGCTTCTTGCAGACTTCTTAGTAAAAACAAATGGAGGAAGTTTAGATGTGGCAGATTACGGGAAGGTGTTGTACTCAGGATGGGGAAAAGATCCTCCCGGTGACAGTGTAAAGAAGATTCAAGACAAGTACAATAAGTGTGAAGATTCCGCACCCGAGGATTTAACCCCGCTCCACCACGCCGTTCTAGAACAACACCCCGCTGTGGTGGAAAAACTTCTGGAGCTTGGAGCTGACACAGACGTCCGCAATGCGTACAAACTGACACCGCTTCACTTGGCCTGTATGCGCGGTAACAGAGAAATTGTGAAACTACTAGTGGAGGCAGGGGCAGACACAATGGCGGCAGACGACGATGGCGACACCCCACTTGACGTGGCCAAACTCTACCACCAGGATCTCACTGTTGCTTTTATGGAAAAGGTTGTGATAGTGAAATTCGTTAAGGTAAGTGGACATTGAAGCCAATAATTGTCGATTGTAATAATGCACTAAATTTATCATTTACTCTCAGCTTCAAAATTCTTATGTTACAGTGACATTTTTTTAATTATATATTTGATACTGTTTAAGATATTAAAATATCTAAGTAACTAAAAGCTTGGTGAATCTCTTATCCACAAAATATTCATTATATTAATAATATTATTTTCTCACTGTATTCCATTCTGATGAGCCGTGGGGCTCAAGGCTTTAATAGATTGAATTAAATTGAGGCCTGCTACTTCAGGCCATATTGTGACATGTCTGAAATTTATGTGAATAGAAAGCAATAGTATACACACAGTCACGTGTAAACTGTTTGAAGTACGATGATAAACGTTGGGCCTTGTGATAAACAGTATAGGATGGTGTCGTAACATATCTGGTAAGATTTCTGATTTATTAAGCGAATAAGGATTTTGTCCTGTTCGATTGTGTCTAAAATACAATGCTTTTTTTTTTTTTGCATGGCTACATGTACCTCCTTTAACTTTACTTACTCAGAGCAAAAAATGTAAACAAGTTAAAAGATTTTAAGGAGGAATGCCTAAAGGGATGTCTCATGTCTGTATTTTTTTCAAAATGTATTCACATTGTGGTCTCCTTACAGGATAGCATTCAACAACCAGCCAAAGAAATTATGGAGTTACTAGACCACAGCCTTGACAATGACGTCACATTGGATGTTTTGAAGACCCAACTTCACGATATAAGTATGCAACTTTGTTGTTTTTTTGACGATGAGTCAAGTGGAACCTAGTTGAACCACAATATTAAGAACTATATTCGACCATCTATATTTATTTAATCAGATAGACTTGACATGCACATTTGCCTTTATATTAACTTAACAGAAGGACGGAACTCATCAACACTCATGTATTTAAACATGCAATGTGTATACTACAATAGTTTAAAACTTTTTCGGGCATAATGAAAGAACTGAGTGTAGTGTCAAAATTAAGTTTTTTTATGCCTCGTCTATCTAAAGTGTTGTTTATATCTTGTTCATTTTTCTTTTTGAACTGTTTATTTCAGTCCAGCGGTTGATGACGGGAGGCTTCTCTTGTTTGGCAAAACTAAATCCAGAAGAAGATTCTTCCAAACATTTTGAAAAGGAAACAAACACCAAGAAAACAGACGAAGAGGAATGAATTGAGGTATTCGAACCATTAACGTGCGGCGTAAGGGTACCATATCATTGACCTTTTTCATAATCTATTCATACACAATGATGGAATCTTAATAGCCATTGCTAATATTCTGATTTTAGTAATAAGAAAGGCACGTATAATGCAAACCTGTAAATGGGAAATGCAGAGAATAAGTTCCTACAAATAGGATTCACTCGATTTCTTTCATCGAATGTTCCCTCATAACATGCAAGAAATTAAAATAGAAAGACCAGTAGTAATTTATGCGAAGAATAATAATTTATGCAAATTTTATTTGATTTTTTTTTTTTTTTTAGGAACGAGAAGTGGGTTTCTGTTTAGTAGATGTACTTCAGAATGTTAAAGCAAGACGGGGTGTTTTCAAAATGGCGACATTGCACTTTAAGTGACTTCATATTATTAGCACATCGTTTCTAAAAGTGCATTTTAGTCTCTCTTTTTCTCTCTCTCTGTACAATATGCCATGGTATATAATATATACATGTTATGTATGTATCCTTGTGTGTGTGTGTGTGTGTGTGTGTGTGTGTGTGTGTCCTTGTGTTTTAAAAGAAATATAGGTATTTCAGGAAACGACAAAGTTGGCGCAGTGTTGTAAATATCTTTGAACTGTAGTTGTAAAAACTTTTAGAGCCAAATACGTTGTTTATCACCTTCTAGAGGAGCAAACATGCAGGTGACAATTAAATGAACCCATGCCTTACTTGTTAGTTTCTCTTTAGTTTACATGACAGATGGGGAAAAGTGTGCTATTTATTCATGCACATACTATAGCTATTGAATTATTGCCACAGTTCGCATATTTATCAATTAATCGATTAATAAAATTATTTATTTGTAGATTTGAAAAAAATTAGCCGTATATTGCTGTCCTAAACTTTGTGCGACTGTATGTAATGTATTTTTTTCTTTGACAAGATATGATGTGCTTAGAAATTGCACTTGTTGTGAATCATTAATCATTAAAAATATATAATGCACCTGTAATACTATGTGCCGTGTGATTGCTAACACGATGCTATTTTACTGTAATCCTTTAAACATCCAACAATTAGGTTTGTAGCATAAAGATGCCGGGTATCTTTCAGAGGCATATTTTTAGTTGGACTTACTTCGCCGATGAGATCGTTAAGCTTGTGTTAGAACATGATCTTAGAAACTGCATATTCAAAATTTAAGATTGTTATAGTATGCCGTAACATTGGTTTTATATATACGGATTAACAGTAATACGCATCATATTATATCATTTATCTATTTATTAAAATGACCAAAGCAATAGTAAGGAATCATCCAAAACTTATGCTTACCAAAAACAATTTGCGTATCCACGAGAAGAAAAAAAAATCGAGGAAATTTTCTTCCATTTTGTTTTAACGGTCTATCGATGTCATATTGCTTGCAAGTATTCTTTATATTTATTGGATAATTAATTCGTAGGTTGTATGATGGAATGTTTTTTTTTTTTTTTTGTTTTTTTTTTCATGTAAACACAACCGGATTAAATTTTTGCCAACCAACACCTTATAGCTTACAATAAATGAAATACATTTAATGCATTTATGACGTGTGCATTTTATATTTGTCGGCCTTCTTATTTTCTAACTTATATTCTACAGACACGTTCAACGGCCAGTGCAAAACCCGTGTTTAACTTGAAATCATGTCTTTGATATCTGACACTCTTCTTGGATGTTTATTCAGAGATCTGAAGATTGTTGCGCGTTCAAATATCCTATATGTTCCAGCTAGGGGTGCTTGTACAATTGCGAGACAATTCATTATTCACTGGACATGTAAATATACAGTTCATTATCTACCGTGCCGTCACCACTGATATCACAGCTGTAACTCTGCATAATGGACTCTGTGTCAAGGTTGGAGGCGTAGATATCATTTTGCACCATTCTTACAAAATCGCACCTGTCCTCTTCCGTTGGTTTTTGTAAATGTATGCCGTCTTCACAACCATGGGTGTTCAAGTAACCGCTGTCGCCTTTGTTTGAAATCTTGTGTGTACAGTTGTTAGCGGGAGCATTTGATTCCGAGCTTGAAAGCTTGGAATTGTTTTCACGTCCATCTTGGTGCCGTTTGATTGTGTCATTACTGAATTCTTTTTCACAGTTAAAGCCAAGGTTTACATATTCATTGTTCGCGCACGAGTACTCAAGGGAATAAGATGGGTTTGTGATACTTGTACTATCTATGCCTTTCTCAGGTGCAGAAATATTGGCTGCTGATCTGGAAAATTACATGAATTTATTTACAATGAAAGAACATACTGTATACAGCAACTGTACATGTGCATGAACATACCGTATGTTTAATTGCAAGTTTAAGAAAAGTAAAATTCATGTTACTAAATGCACCACAAGTTTACAAATGAGATACTCATGTTAGAATGTTAGAAATAGCGCGATGATTAATGCAGAGATGGTTGGGTGAATCTTCTCTGTGCTTAAACGTCGTGACGCTGGGACGATGGCCTTTCTCTATTGTTTGTCAGTGTTTAAAAAAATTCTCGACAACTATAACTTCATATGTTTTGGTCAGCTACATTTGGTGGTCATTTGATGCAACTATTTAGATAGGACAAATGTTTCATAATTAATTCAGATCTTAAGTCTTAACATTAAACGTGGCCAGAGTAGCCTATACAATACCTTCGTCGTAATAGCAGTAGTGTTAAAACCAGAATAGTTGCAACTATAACTACAACTCCCACAGAACACCCAACTGTAAGACCAGTGCTGGCAGGTCCTGTAAAAATAAAACATTGAGGAAAATCAGTCATTACAAATATATTTTAAGAACCAATGAATGGAATACTCACACGATGTAATATTAGCATACTTCCCATAGTTCAGTGGCGTTACATATTTTTAAAAAATATAAAATATATATCCGAGGTGACGCAAAGGTTTCCTGTGCTTCAAACCTTATAAAATCATACACGTAATAATATAACAGTTTGAGATTCACTTGTACTTATTCTAAATTTTGGTAATATGTTATGGCGTTTAGGAGTGGATGCAAATTAAATGTTATTTTGTAAAATATATTTTACCTCCAGACAAAGCAGCTGCTTTGTCGTGGTTGGTTTTGGAAGGTTCAATCAACATTGTCTTTGACACTGTCGTTGCTGTCATTTTTGCAGTTGTTTTAACTGCCGATGTTGCCTGTGACAATTTTCTGGACGTTTTCCTTGCATCCGTTTTAACTGCCGATGTTGTCTTTGACCCTGTCGTTGCTGTCAATTTTTCAGTTGTTTCAACTGCCGATGTTGCCTTTGACAATGTCGTTGACGTTTTCTTTGTAGCGGTATTAACCGCCTGTGCTATCTTTGACACTGTCGTCGATGCCTTTTTGGCAGAAGTTTTAACTGTTGTTGTTTTTCTTGTTGATGTTGTCTTCGTTGTTATTTTCATTGTTTTTCGCATCGGATTTTTCTTACTTGTCGACTGAATTGGATTTGCCGGTTTCTTCACAACCAGCTCTTGAAAGAAACACTAAATGTTTATAAAATCAATAATCGACCATTTGCGACATTTAGCCAGCCATGCCCGTTCTGTTAAAATAATATCATTATATTACTGTAATATTACAAATTTAAACAGTATTTAAAATACTGACTACTGACAATTTACACCTCTACCTCTGTTTGTCTCTAACACTCTTTGTCCAGCGACTGATGTGCTGGCACATGAAAAAATGTACGTCAAAGATGTGGTAGTTGAAGAGTAAACAGATGACAGTATCAGTAATTGTCATATGTGATGTACATGGTAGACTTCACGCACAAGACCACGTAGTACTCGGACCATATAATAATGAAGGAAGAACAGCAGTTCTAGAAACTCTGGCAGAGAGGACAAGTTTAACCGAAATGTTTCACATATATGCTTTTGCAGAAAGCAGGCAATTGAGACTGCGTTTAGGCAAATAAAAAAAAAACTCAAACAAGGCAATTATGACAAAATAATTTATTCCTACATGGGTCTGCTGTAATCACCATTCTACAATAAATAGAGAAATGCACTTACTTTTGGAGAAAGTTCCCCTTTTTGATCTGCCACCGATTTCGCATTTGCATATGAATTCTGCTAATATTTTGGACTGCTGTTTGACTTCTATCTGCCAAGTAAGAAAGAGCTTGTACTAGCACACGTACAGATTAGAACGCAAACTTAACAACTCAGAAAACAGAAAATATAAAATATGGATACCAATGTCACATAAATCACCAGTCATTGTTTAAATTAGCTGTTATGTTATATTTTGCAAAGCAGAGGTAGTCAAAACATGCAACCAAGCCAACAGGACCTTATCTGAAACAGTTATGATTGCAGTGCCATAGATAACAAAAAATGTGATCAAGGCAGAAGTGGTATAATGTCTCATAAGGAATAAGGACATACCTTTAAAAGGACAATTTCAAAAAAAATCAATTAAAAGCAGATACATTATCTTGGGCTGACAGAGATGTAATACACAGACAAATTCGCAACAAATAACAATTAAAGAAACCTATAGCAAATATTAAGTATGAATCTGATATTGTTAACCGATATTAGACCTGCTGTAGCCATTTTAATGCACATTAACGTCATTCAATTTATCTTTAGCTTTTGAATTAAAAAATACCCGACTCGGGGCAAAAAAAAAATGAGAAAAAAAAACATGCTGGACAGAGCTTTACAGACCTGTGAGACTCTGGATGGATCTTACCTTAAATATTCCTATTTTGTCGTCACCTTTTATAGTGATGATTGCCTCTTTTATGTCTCCTAAACTTTCGGCAGTACCCTTAAGAGCTTTCCTGAAAGAATGCGTCCAAAGTCAGGTACACACGAAAATGCACTGTATGTTTACTAGGCGTTAATCCGAAATTGCAGTGAATAGGAACTTAAAAACGTTTAACAAGGTTCAGTTTTTAAATATATTGTTGCATATTTGTAATATATGCGTTTTTACTTGTTTCATTATTGATTGTGTTGCCATTTCCCAATGACCGAGACGAGAGAGAGAAAGAAAGAGAGAAAGAAAGAGATTTACTTTGAGCCCTTTCTTATTTCAAATCTCCTGTCTAAACTCCCCACTGTCAGTGCTGCTATAGACCCGACAACTTCTACTTGAAGTGGAGCATGGATGCCATCATGTTTGTCATTTCCGGTTGTGATTATCACCTCATAGGCCACTCTGGCACAAACTTGAACGTTGACGGAAAATGAAATAATACTCAAAATTGTTGATTTAAAACATGAATATTATGATGTTAATGTACCTGATGAAAGTTTAGAGAATGAAAGACAAAATAAGTGTAGAGTAATATGGCCTATCTATTATACACTAGATAATTTTATGATTATCTGTTTTAAAAGAGAAGAAATATTGGTTGGCAAAGTATCAGTTCATTTCACAGGGTTTTGGCAAATAAAGGCCGAGAAAAAAGTACCATAGTAAGAAAGGGGGATCCCATTTCTGTATATTTAAGGTAAAAGTATTACTATCACATTTCTATTTAAAAAACGGCAGCGTGGCCAATATTGGCATCTCCGAGCTTACTGAACTTCCCTGTTTGCGTTCAATAGCGTTTTGGGCTTAATACTAATACCAGACGGATAACAAGAGAAAATCCTGGAAATATCCATGGTGGCTGTTGTCAGTGCTCATACTATTCACTCTTAACCTCAACTAACATATTCACCTCAGTAATTCCAAAAATTCAACAGCAGCAACAACAACAAAATGAACAAATTGCGGCCCCAAACTCAGCTTTGTGAGGATGAAATAAAACTAAACTTACCTGTTGCATGTATTTGAGTCTGCAAAAGCATCAGTGCTATGAACACGCTTAATGTTAGTGCCATCCTCATGCTGCGTGTGGCTTTCTAAAACTCTTTCGGCGGAAAATACTCATTCGTCCGAAACAATTAACTGTTTTAGTAGTCCGTGCTTGTAAATTCTATGTCACCGGTTTAGTTCACGATAAAACACGCGGCACTATGGAGTTCTGCTTGTGTTCAGCTTGATAATGAAATTATCATCACTGTCGAGGTGATATTTTCTAATCTGATATAATGGTTCGTAATGTTGAAACCTAAATCGATCTCAACACCGATAAGATACTGATTTGATTTAGATAATATATTGTATATTTCCCAGTGGATAATCCCATCCAAAACAGGCGCATTGTAACGATGAAATAAACCATACAGATAAAAATAGATTTTAAATTTGGTCTTGAAATTAAGATCAACTCCTACATGAACTATTAAGTACGCATGCGAAACAGGCCGTAATATGAAAGATGGCGAGATATCATTTTATTTGCCACATCAAATACTACGTTGTCACACTGCAAGATTGAATAAAATAAAATATTTTTTCAAAATGTACTAGTGTTAAAAATTTGCATTTTTTTTTCAATTCAGTTAATGAATATACACACCTCGTGCTAGTGGTTCAAATAATCTTTTTCAGTGCTAGACTTTAAATCTTCCGTTGTCACCAAATCTTGTGACTCGTCCTTTCTTTACTTAATGCAATTTTCAACGGATTTAATGGGGGAGGGGGTTTTACAGCACAAAATAAAATTAATAATTTAATGGGAATAAAATAAATATAGGTATTTTGATTATAACCTCGGCGGAGGTTATTTTTTCACCTCCGTTTGTCTTTCTGTTCATCACAAACCTAAGTCAAAACGTTACTGATAGACCCCATTCCCACAGATTTTAGATCGATCTATCCCTGTGGGAAGTCTCACTAGATAACTGTCAGCTTAGCCGGCTCTGTCCCGCCTACTAAAAGCTGTAAGGGGGTAATTAATTACCGTGTGCGCTCGGCTGACATCAATTTAGCCTGTACCCCCAGGGAGTTAGGTTGATCTAGATGGATCGATCTAAATCTATGAGAATGCAGTCATAGATTTAGAAATTTTCAGGATAGATCGGCAATAGGCTTACCTAATTTGATTAAATTTTGGCACTGAACCGGATCACCATCTTATCTGGATCCAAGATTCCAAGTATAATTTAAAGGATCCATCAGCATTTCCAGATATGGCCAATGCCTTAAGCAATAGAGGTGCTCTCAACTACCACAATCTTGGCGGAGGTCTGCGCTCTCTCCGAATGCCTTTCTAGAAACTACCTGTACTTATCAACATATTATTTGAGTCGCTAAACAAAAGCTTTATAGATAACCATATAACATTATTTTACAGTGCGTCTGATAATCGAAATTTTGCTGTATTCTTTTCAGTTTTATTTTATTTTGGCGACAGCACATTATCTTTTAATTTTGCCTAGCCATGACATCTCACAATTATTCTTTTGTTCATATTTGAAATTTCGGCAAAGTAAAGATATTCTTTATACCATTTTTTATCTTTAAATAATACAAAGTAGGGTATAACATTGTCTTACCAAATGTCATATTGTAACAAATTGTTTTTTAATGCCTGGCACACAATCAAATCAATTTCAAATTAAAATAACAAAGATATGAATTAAAATTACACTGCCATTCTAGTGCTGCATGCTGGTATCAAATTTGAAGTCTTGCCTTTATTCTTTGCATGAAGTCACTACTGGTCTTTCAATTTTAATTCCTTGCGTGTTATCAGGGAACATGCATAAAAGGAATCGATAGAATCCAATTTGTGGGCACTTATTTTCTGCATTTCCCATTTACAGGTTTGCATTGCATGTGCCTCTTATTACTGTAATAAACAGAGCTTGTCGAAGATACTGATAAAAAAAAATAATAATAATTCTACACTGTGAATCCTGCTACTAAAAGGAACTGATATGGTATAAAAAGACTAGAAATTTAAATTTCGTGTATTAGAAAATCAGAATATCAACGTTGGCTGCTTAAGATTCAATCTTTGTGTATGACTCGATTGTGAAAAAGGCCAATGAACTGGAACCCTATACAACGCATATATTTATAGTTAGAATATATCCTCGATTCACTCCTCTTCGTCTGTTTTATTGGTATTTGTTTTCTTTTCAAAACGTTTGGAAGAATCTTCTTCTGGATTTAGTTTTGCCAAACAAGAGAAGCCTCCCGTCATCAACCGCTGGACTGAAATAAATAGTAATTAGAATTTGTTTGATTCGTTGAAAAAGACACTTTCAGAAGATTAAAACTCCCCTCTAATTAGACCATGCATAAAAACTTTATTCTGACACTACACTCATTTCTTTCAGCGTGCCGGGAAAAATTAGAACTTTCGTAGTATACATATTGCATGTTTAAATACATGAGTGTTGATGAGTTCTGTCCTTAAGTGTATTCTGTTAAGTTTAATTCAAAGGCAAATGTGCACGTCAAGTCTATCTGATAAAATGAATATAGATGGCCGAATATTGTTCTGTATTATGTTGTTCCACATGCTTACATAAATGTTATGGAGAGTTTCTCATCAACAAAGAAAATATCAAAGTTGCATACTTATATCATGAAGCTGGGTCTTCAAAACATCCGCTGTGACGTCAGTGTCAAGGCCGTGTTCTAGTAACTCCATAATATCTTTGACTGGTTGTTGAATGCTATCCTATAATGTGCATAAAATTTTGATGAAAAAATAGACATCCCTTTAAGCATTCCTCCTTCTCAAGATTTTCTCATTTGTTGACATTTTTTGATCTGGATTAAGTGAAACCATGCAAAAAAAAAAAAAAAAAAAAAAACATTTGGAGCCATGGATGTGCTGCTGCACAACTCAAGTAAGTTTTGAAATAAGCGGTGGAAGTGGGCCGCTTAAGGCATTGTGCAGCTTAAGGCTGCTGGCGGAACATGTAATACGTCATATGGTTTAACTAAGCAGGCGGCACTTGTACTACGTTTAAATCAGATTAACTAGGTTAATTCGCAAATCAAACTTCAATTACTTTTTAAGATCTAAACCTTATATAATTGAAAATTTAAACTGTCAAACTAATATATAATTTTATTGCGTTATTACTATCGATAATTTCAAGTTCTTATCTCTTATTGGCTTCAAATTTCTACTTACTCTAACGAATTTCACTATCTCAACCTTCTCCAAAAAAGCAACAATGAGATCCTGGTGGTTGAGTTTTGCCACGTTCAGTGAGGTGTCGCCATCGTCGTCTGCCGCCTTTGTGTCTGCCCCTGCTTCCACCAGTAGTTTCACAATTTCTCTGTTACCGCGCATACAGGCCAAATGCAGCGGCGTCAGTTTGTACGCATCACGGACGTCAGTCGCAGCTCCAAGCTCCAGAAGTTTCTCCACCACAGAGGGGTATTGTTCTAGAACGGCGTGGTGGAGCGGGGTTAGGTCCTCGTGTGAGGAATCTTTACACGTATTGTACTTGTCATTCACTTTCTGTCTAATGTCATCGGGAGGATCTTCTCCCCATCCTGAGGACAGCACCTTCCCGTAATCTTCCAACTCTATCATTTTTCCTTTTATTTTTACTAAGAAGTCCGCAAGAAGCTTCCTCTTGACGAGAACATAATGCCATGCAGGTCTTTCTTTATCATTACCGCGGACTAAATAAACCAGACTCCCTTCGTTGAGATTACCTCGTTTGTTCATCAATTCAGGATGTGTTCTCAGAATGGCATCCAAACACTGCACTTGTCCACTGCTTGCTGCCATGTGTGCTGGATTTTCACCTTTGTTATTTAGAATGGTTGGGTCCCTCTTATGTTCATCTACCACATCTCCATTACCATTTCTAGATGCTTCAGACAGAGTTTTGTCTCCGACGTTGTTCTGAATACATGCGTCAGCCCTATCTTCATTTATCAAATACCTAACCACATCTACATGACCATCTCTAGATGCTAAATGCAAAGCGGTGTTCCCGTACTTGTTCTGATGATTGACATCGATTCCGTCCATTGCTGCTATTCCTTTCACTAACTCGACGTGACCGCCCCGTGCGGCACACACCAGGGTATTGCTGGTCACAGGTAAACCATGGCGCTGTAGCCTGTTGTAAATATCTCTGAAGTTGCCTTCCACTGCTGCATCGAGACACGTTACGTCTCCCATTGCTGAATGCAGACTTTTATTGATGTCGACGTTCGGAAGATCAGTGAGGTACTCAACCACGTCATCGTACCCCATCCGACAGGCACGACCCAGGGCTGTTTCACCAGACTCTGTGACAGCATTCAGGTCTGCACCCATTTTGAGAAGCAGCTTAACACCATCAAGGAATCCTACACCGGCGGCATAGTGCAGTGGGGTAAAATTATCTGAGTCAGTAATATTTACCAAATTATGGTCACTTGTGCAGAATTCTTTTAACTTATCAATGTTTCGACTCCTTACGACCTTGTGGATTACATTCATTCCACTATCAGTTTTGTCTAATGAATCAATTCGGTCTGCCACACTCTTGTTGTGTCTCTTCACAGCTATATCTTTGGCAGTGCAGCCTTCCAGCTCACCAGGGTGAGTGCCGCTTGTGACCTGCGTGGAAAGTGTAGCCCAATCAAAATGTCTGAATATTGTCATAACTGCATCTTCGTTATTGTGAAACGCTGCAGTATGTAGAACATTAAATCCATTTTCATCCCTGTACTCCAGGACTTTGTTTCTGTCCACCTGGCGGGCAATCCTATCAAGCTTGTACCAAAGCTTTGGTCGGGCAATGGCGGAATACAGTCGGTGTAACGCATCAGGTATCACTGATATATCTTCGGTGTTTTCTGTTGAAATGAAGAAATGTTTTTTATGTTAACCTTTTTGTACTATAAAACCAGATATTTGACTCAAACAACATGTCAATTTTCTTGTCTACTAAAGAAACTAACGTGTACGAAATAAGATCATTGTACGTGGTTCACTGACATTTAAATGCGCATCACTACTAATCCAACTACGAACCTTATGGAATGGACTGTCTCTTTTAGGTCAAGGGTATTAAGAAGGAAGAGGCATTCCGTGTACAATGTTTGGCTATATATATCAGCATTACTGTGGATCAGAGTGTATGTCATTTCTCACCTTTGGGAAATTAAAGAGACAGAGGAGACTCCTTTATTCGGCCATGAGTGTGACAATTCTTACCTTGTACTGACATTTCAACTTGCAAATCATCTTCATCCCTCTTATTATCTACTTGAAGTAATCGGTTGCTGTCTCCTATTTGGATGTTTTGACTTTGGTTGATGCTAATCGTCTGAATATTTGGGCTTGTTAGTTTGCTTGGCACTGTAAAAGAGCATTAACTCAGTTTAATACGTGAAAATAAACTTTGTCAAGTCTTGAAAGTAAAGAGCTTCATTAAAGTGATTAACGGTTACGTTTCAGACCGTTTGTTCTCGTTGTTTTATCGTACCTTCCTCCGGAGCCCATGATTCTTGTCTGGTCAGATTCAGGATCATCAGTTCTAAAACATCTCTTTTCTTAGCTATGCCATGAAGAACGTCTTCTTTGGTTATCCTAGCTCCTTCTCTTTCCAGCACAACAGAAAGCTGGTCATCTTGTCCATAACCTAACAGGGCACATATCACAATTAAATGGAGCATTCCGATCTTCTCCACCTAAGATACGAATATAAGCTACTACACCTATCATATATGTAGGTGGCGTAAATTTTTTTTTGTCTTCAAGTGTTTTTGTTATTTTCGTTGGCTCATTTAAATGCAGGTTTTTACAGCATCTACGCACACACACACACACAAAGACACGTGCACGCGCACACACTTTTTATGCGTAGTCTATTAATATCAATGCTTTACCTGACTATTTTGTAGTTCAACAGTAATTTGTATGTCTGAAAAGTCCTACAAAGATATCTTGATTCAAACGACTGTGCTTAAGCTTACCCAAAAGCTCCCTGGCGTCTTGTAGCAGCGCTTCCATTGTTGTTAACATACATGTTTCCCTCTTGCGACGGTCACATGAGTAGATGATACAGGTGCTGTCCATCTCTGTGGTTAAATGAGATGTTTATTAATATAATTGTTTTCCAGTGCCTGTATCAGTAGTCGACGACAAAGTAATGCCATAACCGTATGTCATACATACACTGCATTACTTGTAGTCATCGTACACTGTCATCGATATATAGGTAGTTTTACCGTTAGCTAAACACTCTACATGTACTTTTAAATTTCACCCCCCCCCCCTTAACAATTACTATTTCACTGCTGAAGCTAGAATATATAACGAGGGTAAAAGGGAATGGTAAAAACTATCATTATTTTAATGAAGTGTCGATTTTAAAAATAGTTTAACCAAACCAATCTTTGTTTCAATCCTACACACCAAGAATTGCATGTAGGCCTAGAACCACATTATGACGGTAATTTTACCCCTGCATGCATTGAGTGAACATACAATGCCTATGCTGAATGACTTTTAATTTAAAGTGGATTAGTATTTCCTGACCATAAATTGACCATAATAAAGCAGAGACTTTTACTTAATACACATTGATAACACAGGGTCAAACATCTTATAACATATACTCCATGTCGACTTGCTTGGGGAACTGTAAAAATGTGCACCATTATGTTAATAATCAAATCTAAAACTACCACCAACTTAAATCTGTTAACGGCATTCCGTAGTGTATATAATTATGTAAGTTATAGAATGTCATTGATTTCTAATTCATGGTTCATTACTGTCACCACATTTCACACTTGCGGCACTCATGTCTGTTATTCTAATAGAAATTGGAAAGTGTTAATTGTCAACTTAATGATGTCGAGAGTGAGATAGTTTTTATCATATACCCGAGCAGGTTTCGAAATACGTACCGCTGTGAACTTCCTTATGGACCTGTTCCTCTCTACGTGGTTCAGATCCTGGTTCAGATCAGTCTAACGCAATCCTATGACCTGGGTTTTTTTATAGCGTCTATGCGACACAAAATGGCGGATTTACCGAGTATGTTGACACGCATGCCCCCCTGTACCCCGACGTCATTGTATTTTGTTTGTTTAGGCTACTCTTGGACATAATAACGTTTTGACCAAGGCTACTTCAACTCAGAGCTGCGAATGCGCAAATAGTCCCCATTGAGGTCAGACAAAGTATGGCTAATTTCATTATTTGCTCCCATTCAATATATAGCCTGACCCATGCCTCGTTTGACATTTAAATAGTAGTTAGTCTCTCTCTCTCTCTCTCTCCCTCTCTCTCTCTCTCTCTCGCACACATAAACACATTCACAGAGAGAAAAACTTTATAAATATCATAATATATGCGTCCATAATTGAGCTGTTCAACTCATCAGCCGCGCAGATTAGAAGGCTTGAGAGTTAGCTAGTTTTACCAGTCAGATATTTAAAGCTGTACATCATTGGAAAGTTATTCTAGCCTCCACAGAGTCCACTACTTAAAAAAATTGATTTTCAAGAGTCTAGCAAATTCTTCGAATTTAAATTTATCTGTTAAGTTGCTTAATTTAGTTGTCTGCAAGGTTTGGTCCATATAGTGGATAATATAGCCTGCTACTCTCTGATATTTGGGGCCTCTAAAATAGTACACAGACAAAGTTTTTTGCAACAGACTACTAGAGGGTTAATATATCATAGATCTAATGAAATAACAAACACTTACACACTTACAACATTAATTGTCAAACTTTTATTATGGCCAAAAAATATTATTCAGATGTTAAAAGAAAGATAGTGAAAAGAAAATTCTTGATTTCTCTATTATGCTACAGGCAAAGATGTTAACGGATACTTTATCTTACAGGCTAAGTTTGAGCGATCCACTCAGATAAAAATACTTGCAAACAACACTGGTAGGATAATGTAAGACCTTCATTATGTACAAAGAAAAATCATAATTCATGTACATGTATGTAACCAAAGAAATATTGTGACGAGAAATTCTTTAATGTTTTTTTTCTGGCGTATTGTTACTAGGCCTATGAATTTTTTTCTTGCTTTTATGCTATATACATTAAATATAGTTTCAATAGTAATATAATCATTTTTATTATTATCTATATTAGTCGGATTTAAAATCAATATTATGGCATATAATGTACAATCTAAAATTTCAAACGTCCAAATTAAATTCAATTTTAAAAATGCCTGCTACAACAAAAGTCTAAGCTAAAGATGAGAAATTCTACTCACCGGTGATATAAATCAAAGTGCAGGTTACATCTTTAAGATACCGTACACTTCAATTGGTTAGGCATGCAACAAACCTTACGTTACAATGCATGGAGGATTACACTATATACATGTCGTGGTCATCGTAACAGTAAGTCCATTATCTATCATAACACGAAACTATTCAGTGTCCTTTAGCGGATTAGACGGCAATTAAGGTTTTTAGTGGTTCGCCATATTTTACCCCCATAATAAAGGGAACCGGAGAAGATCAGCATTGGTCAGAATTGTGCCGGAAGTGACGTGCAGTGGTGTTAGAAACGAAGCTGAGTGGTCATTTTAACATAGAGGTGAACGGCAGTGAAGACGGGTTGTCGGAGGAAAAAGAAGTTTTCTAAACAACATGGTAAGATAACTCTCTTTTTTTACGCATTTTGGGCAGAGAAAACTTGAAGAAATAGTAAATGCATGATATGAAAACGTGACACGGAACTTGAAGGTGCAAAATCGTGCTTAATTTGCGGTCAACTTGTTTAGAAATAAATGCTGCGTCGACCGCCAGCGCGACAAAAAGCGTAAAGGGGAAATAATTCCCGGGAGTCTATAAATCGTCGCCATGTGGAAATTTGGCATTAATATAATCCGATATGTCCATATCTAAGTATTTTAAAACACCCAAAAATACTTAGATATGGACATATCGGATTGTATTAATGCCAAATTTCCACATAACAACGATTTATAGACTCCCGGGAATTATTTCCCCTTTACGCTTTTTGTCGCGCTGGCGGTCGACGCAGCATTTATTTCTAAACAAGTTGACCGCAAATTAAGCACGATTTTGCACCTTCAAGTTCTGTGTCACGTTTTCATATCATGCATTTATTATTTCTACAAGTTTTCTCTGCCCAAAATACGTAAAAAAAGAGAGTTATCTTACCATGTTGTTTAGAAAACTTCTTTTTCCTCCGACAACCCGTCTTCACTGCCGTTCACCTCTATGTTAAAATGACCACTCAGCTTCGTTTCCAACACCACTGCACGTCACTTCCGGCACAATTCTGACCAATGCTGATCTTCTCCGGTTCCCTTTATTT